GGACCCCAGCTCTGCCACTTACTAGTTGTGTGAGCAACTTGAGCAAGTTATATACTCACTCTGCACCTCAGCTTACCCTTCTGAAAAGTGGAGATGAGATCGAAGTGCTTAATACATTAGGGTTGAATAAATCACTCATGTAAAGTGCTTATTGCAGTGCTGCGCATGTGATAAATGCTTCACAGATGTTAGCTCTCATTATTACTCAGGTGAAATAATGTAGTCTTTTTTTTTATATGGTAGGATAAAAATTTCCAAATCCATTGCTTTGAAGTCATGTATTTCAAGTATGTGTTGGAATACAGTGATCTTTGAGGAACTAAATAAATTCTGACTTTCCTCTTTCCTTCATCTGTAGTTAAACCTTTCCTTGTTTAAGTATCCAGTTTAACGTCATGATATTCCACTGGTTAATGTGTCTTTCTGTCCTCTTGAATTCACACATGGCACAACCAGGAGGAATTGTTCTACACATAGACAGGTATACATATTGTGAAATCACTATGTTGGTACTGAAGCTGTAATTTGCTGGGTTTGTGTGGTATCTTCTGTCAGATACCAAATGATAGCTATAATTTGTTGGTACATCTTTATGAAATACTAAAATTAATTTTATAACTGTTTTGTATAGATAAATGGGTAGAGAGTAAATACATATATATGTATGTGGGTATTTTCAGATTTTGCGGGTAATTATAGTTCTTTTCTTTTTTATACTGCTAGTAAATTTCCAATGTTTTCCATTACAGTTTCTTTCAAGATGGCTTGAAAACAGCTGATAAATTGAAACAGTACATTGAAAAACTGGCTGCTGATTTATATAATGTAAGTTCTTCATAAAATACATGCATTTGAATTCCCATTCAGGGTTCAGTACCATCTCGATTGAATGCCCTTTGGTTAGCTATTGCAGAAAGAATGTTTGATCCTGGAAGGATAAAAATCAAGTTACTGAGTAGGCAGGTTTATAGATTTTTTTTTTTTTTTTTTGCTTGTTTTATATTTTCTTTCTTTTTTTTTGTATCTAGGTTTTGCTTTATAATAGGAAATCAAAAGGAAAACTTTTTTTAAAATAAAACTAAAAGCACATGTAGAAATGGCAAACTTGTTGCCTACAAACCACTGGCAACAAATAATATCAAAAGTATATGTATTATGAATATGAGTGCATAGCTTCCAGTAAGGTTTTGGAGTTACAAATACCTTATATTTTTATATAACTTGAAAAATGTGTGGCCGTGTATTTTTTCTGATTTCTTTTACTAGTTAACATGGTTCAGGTCATGATTAAGTTCCAAACTAAAAGCATATGTAGAAATGGCAAACTTGTTGCCTACAAACCACTGGCAACAAATAATATCAAAAGTATATGTATTATGAATATGAGTGCATAGCTTCCAGTAAGGTTTTGGAGTTACAAATACCTTATATTTTTATATAACTTGAAAAATGTGTGGCCGTGTATTTTTTCTGATTTCTTTTACTAGTTAACATGGTTCAGGTCATGATTAAGTTCCAAGTGATTAAAAAAAGCAGCACCAATCTCTTGCCTTCATGTAAAGCTGTATAAATTTTCATATGTGCATTGGCTTTTTGGATCCCAGTCATTCTTAAGATGCTCTTCTGATGCATTTAATCACATTGTGTTATTTCCACCACCACCCTTTGAAAAACCAGAAGCAAATGATCTCTGTGTTATTTGTTAATGTCATTTAAAATGGTACGTTAGAGTTAATTGTCTAGTGTAGATGTATTATTTAATAAGAAACCAGGTTTACTAATTTCAAAACTCACTTTTCATAAGAGAAGACTGTGCTTCTCAGATTAAAAATGAGATACAGTGTGAGGGACTTTAATAAGAAAACCAATGATATTATTAATTGTTTTATGAATAGCATATTTGGATAAATTAGACTTTGCTCTTAAAAGCATAAATGATAAGTTATAGAAGTAATTTTTTTTCTTTCATAGATAAAACAGACCCAGGATGAAGAAAAGAAACAGCTAACTGCACTCCGAGACTTAATAAAATCCTCTCTTCAACTTGATCAGAAAGAAGTAGGTGATTTATATGTTTCCAACAGAGTTAACAGCGTAAGTGAAGCTGCTTGTGATACCCTTTGTGCTCCCTGATCTGCAAAATAAGCATGTTAATAGCCTCCTGCCAGGGTGGTTGTGGGGACAAATAAGATATAAGATACAAGCAGGTACCTACTGTAAGCCCAGGGTAGAAATTGTGTTTTAGTTTCCTTCCTTTCCTTATAAAAAAGATGCCCCCAGTCTACAATTCCATGACTCTAGATTTTTGATGCTGGCTTTCGAGATGTGTACTTCAGGAGTATATCCTCTCAGGCTGTATTGTCTGAAGGATAGGCAGTACACCCCATGACTCCTCTCTTTAGACCATTTCTATTTTTCTGGGCAGCCAAAAGGGTGTTCTCATTTTGCCAGGGAGATAGGAAAATATTTTGATGCAGAATCCTATAGATGCTTTGCCCCACAATTAGGAAAATTAAGGTGAGATGGCCCTTGTATATTAAAACAGAGTGTACAATGCATGGTAGATAGTAGATAAATGCAGTACAAATCTTTAATTATAAGTGTTGTTTGTTCAAACATTTAATACCTACTATGTGCCAGGCACTGTCCTAAGTAGTAAGCTTTAGTCCCTTCCATCAAGGAGCTCATTATTTAGTAGAATGAGCCAGCCATAAGAACAGTCAGTCATGTCTATAGTGGTGTCAGTGCTGTTAGGGATACATTGGGAGGTGGCGTAAAGCCAAAGAGAGGAAAACTAAAAGACTCAGAGATGGAGTATTCTATCTGCCTGGCATATTCGGGGGCTACAAACCTTTGAGGGCAAGGTGGGTAGAGGAGCAAGAAATGCTGTTTCTGATGTAAAAACTCAGACCTAATTGTGGAGGAACTTGGATGTTACACTAAGGGACATGGACTTCATAATAAGAGTAAATTAAATAGGTAAGCACCACTTGTTACATGGGAGAAAGTTAAAACGTGCCTATTTATGGTATGAAATTATTATGGGTTAAATTTAAGTGCAATATTTCATAATAATCACATAAAATACAGCATTTCTTATAACGTCAATTACTTATGATAACTCACAACAATGGCAAACTCACTTTCTTTAGTTCCTGAGATTTCCAGAAGGAGTTCATGAATCCAAAACAACCCCCCTAAAACATGGGAAGTCCTGCACCAGCAACATGAAGTTACTTATGATAACCCACAACAATGGCAAACTCACTTTCTTTAGTTCCTGAGATTTCCAGAGGGAGTTCATGAATCCAAAACAACCCCCCTAAAACATGGGAAGTCCTGCACCAGCAACATGAATCCATTAAAGCAACCCTGAAGGTTTTCTTTACTGAATCAATATAACCTCTATTGTCCTGCTTCTCCAAATCCAGTTTTTATACATATGTTGGGTTTTGGTAAAGTGAGAGAAGTCCATAGTCCTTTTATACTGGGCACCTGGTAACCTGTGGAGTAGGCATAGTGACCAGGAAGACCTGTGTGCATGAAGGCAGCATCTGTACCAACAGTGTCTAGAGTCTGACGCAGTGAGTGCTCCTGTGGTTTCAAGTCTCAGACTGTGTTTTAGAAGAATTTCTAGGTATCAGAACCCCCAGTAGAATTCAGACTGAAACACAGATATGCTGTACTCTTTGAAGATGCTTATTGTTGACATACAAATCATAGGAAAAGTAGTCTACTTCTTGTGATGAAAGACCCAAGTAGAAGGGGATAAGGAATAGATTTCTGTCTGGGGAGAAAATTGTGGGGTTTTTTTGTTTGTTTGGTTTTTACTTACTGGTACGCGCTTAACCCCATCCTACCTTTGTTTTGTTACACAGGATTACCTCCTTTCTATATATGTAAGTTTTCTTGAAAAAAGGGAGGGGGGAGACTATCAGAGTCCCTTTTTCTTTTGCGTAGAGGCTGATGTATTCTGCTCATGCCAGCTAAAGAGCAAGTTGCATACAAAAGAGTAGTATATGATGTACATGATGAAATGTACATGATTTGATTTATTTTAATTTCACTCCAAATTAATAAATGATGAATTTTCATTAGCACCATGTCCACAGTATTTTACAAGTTAAGTTGATTTTTCACAGCATGCCCATTCCTTTCTCATGTTGTTTATCATCACTCATTGCAAAATATATTTAGAAAATGATTTTTAATGACTTTAAATGCGAGAAGAGACTGCCAACCAGAGAGTTCTTGCCATAGCACTACTATTTGAGAAGTGTTAAGTAATCTAAAAGATTATCTGAGAAATTGAAAGCACCCACTAAATTATTTAACCTACTCATCCCCATCAGGTTTTAACTTGGCTTCATTGAAAGGAAACTCCAAGAATTTTCATTGTAAATGAAGATGATTTTTGGTAGACTTAGTTTTTTCTTGTCAAAATCAAATTGTATATTTTCACAGATATTCTATGAAATTATCTTAATCTTTTATAATAGCCAAATCTCCCAAAAGAACTATTTGCTACATAAATATTTTTAGAGTTGAAAATGTTTTATTTTTAATGGTGATATTGATAAATTATATTTAGGATGTACTAAATTATTTTTAAAACTCTAGCTTTTGTTTGAGTCCACTGATGGACTCTGTTAACAGCTCATAACAGTGTGGATTGCACGTGTAACAGATTCTATGTTTTGCTCCTCTCTCTGTCTCTTCACAGTATCTGGCACATTGCCTAGCACCAAAAATAACTCAATAAATATTTAGTAAGATGAAACAGAAGGGATTCTTTGTCTATTTCATTCATACCTTACATTAGAAATTTGAAGTTTCTGTAGTTTATAGCCCCATTAAATCAACAAGTGTGTAATTGCTTGCAGTTTTAAAAGATTTGAGATTTTACTACTTAATAATGCATTATATATGTTAATACAAGTTTCAATTAAGAAAGTAAGGTGATTTGTTTATACTGCTAATAGAAAATAGGAAATGAACTAAAAAATAATAGTGTAGTTTCAATCTATACTTTACATTTCCTGACTCACGTCATGAAATTTCTCCAAGGTTTTAAGTTTGTTGTTTAATTTTATATTTTGGCCCAAAGGAGGTTTTCATTTGCATTTGTTTTTTGAGTACATGGTTGATTTCTGTAATGATGCTATCAAAGGATTTAGGACCTATTTCATTCCTTCAGTTGTATGTGTGTACTTTTAAAATATTAGTGTTAATAATTCTCCAATATCCACTTTCTCAAAAATGAGAATCCTCTTTTCATTTATCTAGAGTGCCCTGCTAAGCAAGCTGAATGGCCATGATTTCTCAAAGTTTCTCATGAAACTTATTAATAGTTTATTTAGGATTGTCAGACTTCTGAAAAATCAGTTTCAGTTTAAAGAGGTCAAAGCCTAGAGTTCAGACACTTTATTCACCTTTAAAAGCTTATCTGTCTGATGTAAAGCAAGACCCATTCAATCTAGATGTTATAAGTCATTAGCATCTGAATCCTTGTTAAAAAAAGATAAGTGGGCCGAGCCCGTGGCACACTTGGGAGAGTGCAGCGCTGGGCCGCCGCGGGTTCGGATCCTATATAGGGATGACCGGTGCGCTCACAGCGCTCACTGGCTGAGCGCAGTGTGGCCGGTCTCAAAAAAAAAAAGATAAGTACTTTTATTTTTAAAACTTAGGCTTTTATTTTATTTTAAAGGTTAGCAAACAAGTTAAAGTTAGAGATACATGGTTTTAAAGCCTTCAGACAAACCTAGGATTAATGTGAGCAGATGAAGAGAAGTTTCGTTCAATGACAAATGCTCCAAGGAAGAGGGTTGTTCTTTTAATAAGATTTGATGTCCAAGGAGATTTTAGATTTTGTTTTTAGTGTTGCTGGGAGATACAGATATGGCAGAGATCCCTTACTCTAAATCCATAGTTGAGTAATTCTCTTGCGATTTCACTGGATTAAAGCAGAAATCTCTATGAATTTCATTTATCCCTGCCTCTTATTTTATCCTGTGCCTCAGTTCCCTGTCACTCAATCTAATTTTCAGCCCTAAATTTTCTCTATTAGGATTATGGACACACTGCTGCCCTCCCTTAAAAAAAAATAAAACCAAACAAACAAAAAAACACTACTGTTGTTACTGGGTACTGTCGCTAGAAGCAATGGTAGAGGAAGACTGCTTTTTTTTTTTTTTTTCCTGTCTGATATTTAATATAATCCTCAGTCCTAGCTCATCCAGAAGATGAAAATACCTATCAGGAAGGACTTGTGAGTCAAATTACTATAGAATTCAAAGCTGTGGGCCCTAATTAAGAGTAAACATTTAGGGGAATTTTGAAAGAGATTCCTAAATCCCAGCCCATGCTCCACCCCTCCCCAGATGATTAATATTGTTCAATTAGAATGTTTCAGATGGAGGGAATCTGTTCTGTTGAGGACAGAGAAATTACTCAGATTGAGAAAATGGCTCCAGTATGTAACCTCTTTAATATGAGTCAGCTTGCCTAGTAAAGTATACAGTAAGCTCTTGGTTACCTATCCAAGAAAGCAGGACAGTGGTCAGAGTGTGAGCATCCACTTCAAAGCCAAGGGTTGTGTCTTGTTCAGAGTGCTCAATATCGCAGTATTATCTGGCTTTAGGAGGTGTTCACAATATGCTTTTAAATACAGAATTCATCACAGGTAGAGTAGCTCTACAAAGGTGCATTGTTCTAGAGATTTTTCTTCAAATGTTACTAACATTAATTTGCATCAGTGAGAACACATTATTTGGCCTAAAAGGATCTTGAATGTCAAAAAGAAGCCATCCTGGCCTTAAAGGTATGCTGTACACAAGTCATCAGCAAATAACAAGTGGTTGATTTCGCTTCCTACATTGGCACCATTTCAGGTGTTGCTTATGAAGTGAATATTATTTATTAAAGTTCTCTTCACTTGGAAAAAACAAAAATCAAATCCTACAATGTGCGGCTCTTTCCTGAGTAATTTATTTTGGGTTTCACTTAGATATTCCCTATGCACATACGTTTGAGGTTTGTCAATCATTTTATCTTGGTGAAATGTGCACCTCATGTTCTTCCATTCAACTGTGTTTCTGTTCTTACTCAACATGAACTGAAATATAAGCTGATAAATATAAAGATATTTTACTGTCCTGTTTCAAAAGTTTATCATGATTCTAAAGATGCACACGTGTGTGCGTGCGTGTGTGCACATTTTGGTATTATCTTTATAATGATGTTTTCTGTGTGTTTTATATAAAGTGCTTAAATTATGGGTGATAAGATTTTCTACTAAATTAACTATATTTTTAAATATTCTGCCTTTTTTCTCTGTTGCTTTTGCCCTTCCTGATCGAAGTCTAGGAGAGTAAGTCGATACTTCTTGTGAGAATGCATTGTCCTACTTATATGTCTAAAAACCCATGTTCTCATTCTACAGTTCAACCTTATTCCTTTATTGCTTCCATTTCATAATGTAAAGGCTGTTTCTTGTCATGCAGTCTTTAGAAGCTATAGTTAAGCACCAACGGAGTGCTAGCATTAAAATCAGACTTGTTTGCATCTGTGTTGTTGGTTTGGCCTTTATACTCTCTTCACCACATCATACACTTTTCACTGTCATAGGAACATCTTTTTAAATGAAAAGTATGGTCTGGCCAGTTAATTCAGTTGGTTAGAACACAGTGTTATAACACCAAGGTCAAGGGTTCTGATCCCCATACTGGCCAGCCCCCCAAAAATTAATAAATAAGTAAAAATAAATTAAAGTGTCATTGTAAGTATATTTTACAGAGCACTAATTAGTTACAAAACAAGAATTTTATAATAATGCTAATATCTCACTCAGAAGTTCCCATTTTATTTGAGGTACTTTAGCAGAATAAATAAAGGGAGAAAAGGGGTATCCTAAAGGGAAAACATCTCAGGTTGCATGTGCTATGTTTTGTGGTTCACTTCAGTTTTTCCAGTCCTTCCTGTGTTTGCCTCTGCTGCTAGTGTAAACTGGTTTGAGTCATATAATAGTCTACCAGCGCATTGTGTTTTTTCAACTCAGTACAGAGTAGAAGTGAGTTCTGAACTAGAAATAGGAGACCTGGACCCCAGGCCGCAGCTCTCCCTCAGACTTGCTCTGTGACTCTGGCATTTGTTTGCCTAACCTGTTTCCTCCTCTAAAATAAAGTGAAGGACCTGACAGCTCTTAAAGTTTCATAATTCTCTTAGACCCAGCCTGATGGGCAAAGTCTCAATGGCAAAATAGAGTCAAGGACTAGAGAAGTGTCTCCAGTTTTTGTTTAATCTGTGGTTTCTCTTTTCTAGGATTCCCAGAGCCGGCAAGGAGGATACAGCATGCATCAGCTCCAGGGCAATAAGGAATATGGTAATGAAAAGAAGGGGTACCTGCTAAAGAAAAGTGACGGGTATGTGTGAGTCCAGCCCAGCATCTCAGTGTGTGATTAGCATACTTACTGGGTATTATTAACCTAGGAACTTTTTTCAGCCTCCAAATAGAAAAACATACTTAAAAGTTTTCTCATGCATTGGCTGCAGATCTTTAGCACACTGGCTCTCTTTAGATAAGTCAGATTTACCTGCTATCTTTAGCTTAAGCAATTAGTGTTCTGTGGGCCCTTGGTGGCACCTCTGACTTGTTAACATGCAATTTTAGGAATGCAGGTACTGAGTAGTATGTGAAACAAGTAAATGTTGGCCTCATACCCTCCCACCTCTCTGCTTTTTTTCATTGCAATTTTTTCTGCCTAGGATGCCCACCTGTCCACTGAAACCCTGGCCTTGGGGGTCACCCTTGACTCCTCTTTTTCCTCTTATGTACAGCCAGTTTGACCAAAGCCCTTCCATTTGTACACTGAAGATAATACACTTCCTGACTCTGTTGCCCCCACACTAGCCATCATCATCTTTCCTGGACTGTTTTAGCCTCCTAACTGGTCTCTCTGTGTCATTCACTCTTCTTCTCCAGTTTATCTCTACAAGCACTCAGAGTGGTCTTTTAAGAAACATAAACCACATGATGTCATTCTGCTGCTTAAAATGCTGCATTGGCTTCCTGTTGCACACAGTATCTCATCCCTGCCTTCCTCTCCAGCCTCATCTTGTGCCATTTTCTGCACTGGTCCTGCCACATTGGCCTTCTTTCTGTTGCTTGAACAAACGATCCTGCTTCACAATAAGTGCATAAGTAGTATCTGGATTATTCCCTTTACTAATTGGCATCGTTTTTTTAAAAGAAGGCACTTTGTTTTCTGATTGCTTGTAGATCTGTACTACTTGCCTTTATCTAAGACATATACAATTTTTGGGTTTATTTGTTTGTTGAAATTGCAAATATTTCTCCTATGTATTTATGTATTCACTGTCAGTTTTGCTTATCATTCTACTCATGCATTCAACGAATATCTTTTGAGAGTCCTGCTGTATGTCTAGGATTCACTCTTGTAGGCACTGGGAATATAGCATTGAACAAAAGAAAGTCCCTACCATTATAGAGCTTACGTTCTAAGCGGGGAAATGGACAATAAATAACTATATGATGGGTCAGTTGGCAGTGAATGCTATGGAGAAAGATAAAGCAAAGAAAGAGATGCAGAGAGTATAGGGGTGGACACTGTCATACAGGTGGTCAGGGAAGACTTTACTGAGGTGGTAGTTGAGAAAGACCTAAAGGACATGAAGGAGTGAGCTGTACGGATACATGGGAGAAGAGGGAATGGCAGGAGAGCATGTTTCCCATGGTGAATAAAATATCCAGTTGAGCATAGCTGGAGAAGAGCAAACTTGGGGATCATAGGACATAATGTCAGAGGGGGCAGGGAGCCAAACCAGGGAGAGCTTTGGAAGCCACTGAAAGAGATGGGGAGTCATTGGAGGGTTTTGAGAAGGATAGTGGCATAATCTGACATGGTTTGAAAGGTTCTCTCTGGCTACCATGTTAGGAAGGACTGTTCAGGGTGTGAGAACAGAAGCAGCAATTAGACGACTGCTGCAGAAACCGAGATGATGGTGGGGCAAGGGGAGCAGCGGAGGTGGTCAAATTCTGGGTGATAGAGGTAGGGCCAACAAAATTTGCTGATATGGGGTGTAAAGAAAGAAAAGTATTCTGAGTACTTAGCATAGCGCCTGGCTTGTCATAGAGGTGCTGTCATATCTTAAAGTTGGAAAGGAGGTTGGAAGTCAAGGATCCAGCCTCCTAATAATTGCACATGTAGCAAAGGTGAATAATGATAACTTGGAATTGCTTTCTATGAAAGAGGGAAAAATTGAAATGTTTATTCCTGAGCACAAACTCATTTGCTAACAATGACTGCTGATGTCTCATGTGATTTTTCTCCTAAGGATCATTTGCATTAGTAATATCTGACCCTAGTTTTGGAATATTCCTTGTTACTTATAGACTTGTTATACAATTTGAAGAACAATTTAAAGATTTTATGGCCGAAAGGCATTTGAGAGGCAGAGAGCAATTACTTTACATACATTTTCTCAAAAAGGCCCTAGAAGGTGGGCATTATTATCTATATCACACTAATAAGGAAAATTAGTCTCTAAGAGGTCAAGTAACATGAGCAAAACCACATAGCTAGTTGGTGATAGCACTGGGATTGAAGCCCAAGTGATCTAGCATCAAAGTTGGTACTCTTTAGATGTACAAGGCCACACTCTAATAGAAAATTCCTTTGCTAGGGCCGGCCCGTGGCTCACTTGGGAGAGTGTGGTGCTGATAACACCAAGGCCATGGGTTCAGATCCCTGTATAGGGATGGCCGGTTAGCTCACTTCAGAGAGCATGGTGCTCACAACACCAAGTCAAGAGTTAAGATCCCATTACTAGTCATCTTTTAAAAAAAAAAAAGAAAGAAAAAGAAAATTCCTTTTCTGGAATTGTGAGATCCTGGCACACTTTAACGGGTG